GAATAACAGAATAACAGAGTTGGAAGGGTCCTTGGAGGTCTTCTAGTCCAACCCGCTGCTCAGACAGGAAGCCCTGCAGCACTTCAGACAAATGGTTATCCAATCTCTTTTTTAAAACTTCCAGTGTTGGAGCATTCACAACTTCTGGTGGCAAGTTGTTCCACTGATTCTGTCAGGAAATTCCTCTTAGTTCTAGGTTGTTTTTCTCCTTGATTAGTTTCCACCCGTTGCTTCTTGTCCTGCCTTCAGGTGCTTTGGAGAATAGCTTGACTGCCTCTTCTTTGGGGCAGCCCCTGAGATATTGGAAGACTGCTATCCTGTCTCCCCTGGTCCTTCTTTTCATTAAACTTGACATACCCAGTTCCTGAAACTGTTCTTCATATGTTTCAGCCTCCAGTCCCTTCATCATCTTGGTTGCTCTTCTCTGCACTCTTTCTAGAGTCTCAAGATCTTTTTTTGTAAGGCAGTGACCACAACTGGACGCAGAATTCCAGGTGTGGCCTTACCAAGGCATGATAGAGTGTCCACAGTGTTTCCATGGCTCAGCCCCAAACAATTTGCAAGATTATTTCCACCTGAGTCCCCTTGGATTTCATTTCAGTCTAAAGTCCCATCATCGGAGGCTTAACAATAATTAACTGTGTTTTTCATGACAGTCCCAGATTCCGCTTGTTAATTTTTAAAAAAGGCCTGTAAAGATATATTTTTCACCCGAGGCTCTTAAGATGGTTTTTATACTGCCAGTTTTTTGTTTTTTTTTACGTTTTAAACGGTAAACTGGACATGATGTTGGAAGACGGTGGTGATGCGATGCCTATATCCTGCGCGATAAAAGTCCACTTTTTAAGAAAAGTCAAGATGGCAGGACTTGGCTGCGTGGAAAATACGAAGATATTAGCGAGCAAAGCACCTTTTGGCTCCACGTAGTCTGCAAAGCTAGCCATTTAAGACACGGTTGGTACAGTTAACGGCTTAGTAACGTAATTGGCAGGTTGACTTCAATGGGATTTCAGCCGCCTCCAGGCTAATCCTGTAATGTAGCTCGTAATCCTCCCCAGTTAAGAGCTGAACTTAAATAGATTCATCCATTTCTTTTTATTCCAGTGATGAGTCAGTCAGGAGGTTTCAGCGGAATAAGGTCAGTTGCTTTGGTCTTTGTAGAGATTCTCAGTCATCCAGGTCGTGGCTTGTCCCAAAGCTGTTTTCTTTTTTTTTCAAGAGGCAACTGGACTTTCTGGTTTTTTTCTTTGAAGACGTTTCGCTTCTCATCCAAGAAGCTTCTTCTGTTCTGACAGGTTGGAGTGGAATGGATTTATATATTCCTTTGCAGACAGCTGATCATTTGCATCCTTTTAGAGCGTTGTTGAGGTCACTTGGAGGTTTGTCTGTGTCCTCAGGGTCACCCGAGTGGTGCAGATGGGTGAGGAGCCTTCTTGGAACGGCGGAGGACATCATCCACCCCTGGTCTACAACACAGTCCTTTCAGGCGACCCCGAGGACACAGCTAAATCTCCAAGTGGCCTCAATGTCTCTCTGAAAAGAACACAAATGACCAGCCGTCTGCAAGGAGTATAAATCCTTCCATTCCCCAAAGGTGCTTTTTTGAGGAGGCAAACTGGACTTTCTGGATTGTTTTTTTTTTCTTTTGAAGACATGTTGCTTCTCATCCAAGAAGCTTCTTCAGCTCTGACAGGATGGTGGAGAATGGAAGGACTGATACTCCTTGCAGACAGCTGGTCATTTGCATCTTTTTAGAAAGCAGTTGAAGGCAAAAAAAAGGATGCAAAAAAAAAAAAAGGATGCAAATGACCAGCTGTCTGGAAGGAGTATAAATCCTTCCATTCCCCACCATCCAGAGTCAGAGCTGAGGAAGCTTCTTGGAGGAGAAGTGAAACGTCTTCAAAACAAAAAACAAACAAGGAAGAAAGTCCAGTTGCCTCCTGAAAAAGCACCTTTGGGACACAATTACTTTGGGTAAAATTAGATCTGAGGCTTCCTTATTCGGATGCAGCACCTCAACCCAAACTCTACAATTGGTCCTGGGGCTTCAGGACTCAAAGGAAGTACAGGTAGACTACAACTGCTCCATCACTGGAGGCCTTTAGGAAGAGACTGGACAGCCACCTATCCGAAATGGTAGAGGGTCTCCTGCTTGGGTGGGGTGGGGTTGGACTAGATGACCTCCAAGGTCCCTTCCAACTCTTTTATTATTCTGTTATTGTTATTCTGACCTGTATGCCCCAATCGAGCCCAGCATTTCTGTTGCCAAGTGAGACAACTGGATTTTGCCCCATTTTTTACGACCTTATTTGCCGCCGTTCTTAAGCAAATCACTGCCGTTGTTTAAATTGGTGACACAATCGTTGAGTGAATCTGGCCTTGACTTTGCTCGTCAGAAAGTCGGAAAAGGAGATCAAGTGACCCCTCCTCCGGGACGCTTCGACCGTCATAAATGTGAACCAGTGGCCAAGTGTCTTGAATTTCGATCGCATGACCCCAGGGATTATGCAATGGTCGTTAAGTGTGAAAAGCGGTCATAAGTCACTTTTTTTCAGTGCTGCGGTGGCTTCGGATGGTCACTAAATGAAATGTTGTAAGTTGAGGACCACCTGAAGTCCGTTTACCCGTGCTTCCCAGAAGTCCTCACTGTTACTTGGACAAAGCAACCTTCCTTACATTGAGCAATTCAGTGGGAAAGGTATCTTTGGTATTTAACTCCAGATAAATTGTCAAGAAAAGTATAAAGGTATCTCAAATGAATATTGAAAATGTAAATAGGCTGAAAAACAGCTTCTATCCCAGGGCAGTAACTCTATTGAATTCTGCTGCGTAGTGCAATATTCATGCAATACGAGGGGTTTGCAATTCAGTGTGTAGAATGTGAAGGGTGTGTGTTTGTGCATTTTTATAGTCATAATATACACTGAAGATGGTACTTAATTTCGTTGTGCGGGGTGCAACGACAATAAAGAAAACTAAATGTAAAGAAGAGATTTTTTTATCATCTATGGCGGACGTGTGGTAAAGCAAATTGGAATAAGATTCCTATCAATAGAGAAAATTCTTAAAAGTGAATAGAGAAAGAAAACCAAATCTTTTCTTTTGGGTTTAACGTGTCATGCCCCTGGTGGAGACTGACTCTGAGGGGGGAGGACAGGGAGTGGAAGTGTGGCTCCAGAGGTTGTGGAGGAGGCTGGGGAAGGGCAGAGGCCGGCTGGGCAGTCAGAGGAGGACCCAGGCCCATCCCCTATCCATCCTAGGGCAGGAAGGGAGGAGCGGATAAAGGAGAAATGTGAATGGCGTGGTCTACGGGGGAGGAAAGGGCCCTGATCCCCTTCATGGGCTGCAGCTGTGACAATAAGGATGGACCTGCGTACTGGCAAACGCTGGAAACAAATCATGTAAATATCTCTAGTTTATGGTTCCTCTCTGAGTTTGGCGTCCTTCCCAGTGTGTGTTATATGTGGACATCCTCCAGCCCTTATCTTGCCTGGTTTGTGTTGCTTTTTCCCTTCTTTGTGTAACTGCGTAGGAGTTACTGGCTCCTACTGGCTCTCCAGAACTAGGCAGAACCAGTCGAATACCACCACTGGCAGCGTAGCATTGTGTTCCCATGCAGCCTGGATTCATTGCTTTGGGGGCGACATTTCTCTGTGGACCACCAAGATGTCCTACCTGTCAATGAATACTTCAGCTTCAACCATAACAATACAAGAACAAACAATAGATACAAACTCAAGGTTAATTGCACCAAACTTGACTGCAGGAAATATTACTTCAGCAACAGAGTGGTCAATGTCTGGAATACTCTACTTGACTCTGTGGTTTCTTCCCCAAACCCCAAAAACTTTAACCTTAGACTGTCTACTATTGACCTCACCCCTTTCCTAAGAGGTCTGTGGGGGGCGTGCATAAGCGCATCAACGTGCCTACCATCCCTGTCCTATTGTTTCTTTTATTTTTATTTTTCTTATATGTATCCATGTATTCATAACTATGTTTTTACTTATACCTATTATCTTGTAAGCAATTGACAAACCAAATAAAACCAAATAAAATAAAATTTTCTCGCGGACCACCAGTGGTCCACTGGTCGTCCACTGACTTAAAGTATCTTTTTCCATGGCGTGTATCATCTCCAAACATCCGGCCAGCTGGTCCGTTTGAACAAGGACTGTCCAAAAAAGCTTCAACAGTTTTTTAAAAAAATCGCCCCGTATTACCGCCCAAAAAAATCTGAATGGAAAAAGAAAAAAATATCTCGTCGTTTTTAATTATTATACATCAAAGCCCAAAAGACATATCACTGACCACAAAGTCTCACACACCTAAGTATAAAAAGATTTAAAAACAAAAAAAAAAGGCAAAGAGGAAGAAACAAAAAATAAAATAAAAATCGCCCGTCTCTTTTAACGGCGAGCATCCGAAGCACAGTTTCGTAACGTTTACACGACAATATTCACTCGGTGATGGTCCAGGTGTTTGTTTTTTTAAAAAATAACACGCATTGGAAAAGAGGGGACGAAAAACACACGTAACATGTAACCACTGACCCCCAACCCCCTCCGGACAAATGTCCTGCACAAGAGAAACCCAGGAGCATTTTAAGTCAATATGACCTAAAGGAGATCCAGAGAGGAGAGGAGGGTGGGGGGGGGGCGCATTAGATTCAAAGAGGGCAGTTTGGAAGGTCTGTGAAAGAGGCCCCCGCATTGTGTGCCCTCCTACATCGAGGTCACATTTGCAGTGGGGAGTGGTCTTCCTTCCCCCCACACCTCGCTAGCCTCCCCACAACCCCATAGCTGTCTCAATGCCTTTGCACATATATTTTGGGGAAGGCGGAGGAGGGAGGAAGCCCCAGCTGTTTTGCATTTTGGAGGGGCATGAAATCAGCAGAAACAGCCGCCCAAAAGACGTTCCCCAAATAGCAGGAGGCTGAAAGGTGGTGCTCCCCAAATTCCTCTGGCCCCGCAACCCAGCAGCGACCCCGTGCCCAGGTGCTCTTCCCCCAGCTGCCAGGGCTCCGGAGACAGAGACCAGCTGTGTCTCGCGGGAACGGGGCAGGAAGAAGGGCCGTAACCAGTCTCTTGGGGGGGGCAAAGGAGGGGCTTAGGACGCCCATTCCGGCTCTGCAGGGCGGATCTTCATGGTAGCGGATCGCAGGGGGTAGTAGCGCCCTCTCCAGGTCTTCCAGAAGATGCCTTGCTTTCTCTCGTGCCGCTGCCGTGGGATGGACTGGAAGTATTTGCCGTTCAGGTTGACGTGGCCGCAGTAGCTAAACCACCAGCCTCCTGCAAGGAGAAGAGGGGCAGAAGACGGGGGTCAGCCAGGCACGCAAGCCCACCTGGGGGGGTGGGGAGATGCCCTTCCGAGACCCCGATAGGGGAGCAACTCCGTTGATGGGCTAGAGCCGTGATGGCGAATCTATGGCATGCGTACCACAGGTGGCATGCACAGCCATTTGTGCAGGCACGCAAGCCCCAGGCAAACTTACCTCACTGCGCATGCGCGTGGCTCCCAGCTGATTTTTGGGCCTTTTTCAACCTGTCAGAGGCTTAAGAGACATCTCTGCAGGCTTTGCAGGCCGAAAAATAGGCCCGTTTCATCACTTCCTGTATTTCCGGAAATACCAGAAGTGACAAAACGGGCCCATTTTTCGGCCTGCAAAGCATGCAGAGGCTTCGCTCAAAGCCTCTGGCAGGCCGAAAAAAGGCCTCAAAACAGGCAGAAAATCAGCTCGGAGGTGCAGTGCAGGTAATGGGGCAGCGGTGGACGGAATCTCGTGTGCATGCGCAAGGGGCATGGGGGGGCGCACGCGCATTGCCTTTTGGATGCTGGCACGTGAGCAATTTTTGGCACAGAAGCTCAAAAAGGTTAGCCACCACTGGGCTAGAGGGAAAGATTACAGGCAGTCCTTGATTTACAACTACAACTGAGGCCAAAATTTCTGCTGTTAAGCGAGACCTTTGCTGAGGTTTGTCCCATTTTATGACCTCTCTTGCCAATGTTGTTAAGTGAATCATCTCATTTGTGAAATCACTAACAAAAGTTGTTAAGGGAATCTGGCTTCCCACGTGACTGCCCATCAAAAGGTCAAAAACAGGGATCACACACACACCCCAGGAACACTGCGTTAATATGACACAGTCGCTGATGTTGTGAATTTTGAATCAGGTGACCCTGAGGATGCTGTTGGGTCGTAAGTGTGAACAACAGTCATAAGTCGCTTTTTTTTCAGTGCCGTTGTTAATTTTGAACTGTTGCTAAGTCGAGAACCACGTGGCTATTCCAAACTGGGTCAGAAACTTCGGGAAGATTTTTCTCAGGAGTTTTTTTTGCAGGCATGATGTTTAGTTCTCGAAATATGGCCACAATTTCAACGGGAATCAAGTGATTAAACTCAACTCCACTCAACTAAAAATTAAGAAACAAAACAAAACAGAGGAGACTCAATGGACGAGGTCTTTCTGCAGTTTTATAGGCTTCTAATAGCCGCCAGTAAGTGACGTGGTTGTTGTGCGAATCACACCCAATTTTAATGACCTCTGGCACCACAATTGTTAAGCAAAATCACTGCAAGCTGTTCAGTGACTCGCACAGTCAAAATGGCCTCAAGCTTCAATTGCACTCTCCATTCTCAGAGTTTTTCAACCCTGTCCCCTTTAAGAGGAGCAGACTTCAACTCCCAGAATTCCCCCAACAAAGCAGAATTCTGGGAGTTGAAGTCCACTCCTCTTAAAGGGGACAGGGTTGGGGGGAAAAAAAAGCCCTTCGGAGTGTTTGCTCCATCCGCTGCCACTGACCTGAGAGGTGCTTGGCGCAGTTGGTGTCACCCTTCAGATCGTGGTCACGATCCCGCGTGGAGAAGGGCAGCTGGGGGAAGTCCCCCATGGCGCTCTCCAGCTCCCCCCGGATGGCTCCCAGGAGGCTGAGGGTGTAAGCCGTCTCCTCCCCGCCCAGCCGGAAGAGGAAGTGCGCTTTCTGAGAGTTGCCTTCCCAATCTTGCAGCTCGACCAGCAGCTGAAAATGCTCCTCCTTCACCATCCGGTGCATCTTCTCCAAACCGAGCCAGAAATCTCCTAAAATAAAGCGGGAAAAAGAGCCATGGAAAAACAAAAACTTGCCTTGGGAGCCGCCAAGATGGACCGCTACACAGGGAAGTCCTCGACTTAGCGACCACAACAGCGCCCTCCCTCCCAATGTCTGCTCTTAAGGGAGACGTTGGCTAAGTCGAGTTTCGTTTCCGTTACGCGACCTTCCCTGCCGTTAAGGGAATCGCAGCAGGGGATAAGTTAAGCCGCCCGGTCATTAAAGCGAATCCAATGTCAACTCATCAAATATTTCTGTGGTCTTTTTGGAGTTGCCAACAGAAAGGGAGGGGGGAGCAGTGTGGCAGCTTGGAAATCAAAACTGCATTCCACAAATGTTGACCCCCAATCACTGTAAAGACAATGCTGGTTGCCAAACACCGGAATTTTGATCCCGTGATTATGGGGAATGCTGCGATGGTCGTAAGTGTGAGGACCGGCCATAAGCCACTTCTTTCAATGCCGTTGTAACTTTGAACTCAGCTAAACGAATGGTAGTAAGTTGAGAACTATCATTTTATCAATGTTTTAACTTGATAAATAGATTTTGGGAAATTGATGCTGTTAGAAAGCGGGGTTCTGACCCGGGCTTCCCCAAAAAGCACTAAGCAGACTCTTTGTCCCGGCAAAACCCCTTTTATTAAACGAAGGTGAATTTCTTGCATTCACCTTCAGCCAAAGGCCTGGCAAACAGTCTTTCCGGGGGTATCATTAGGAGCACAGACCTTATCTAGCCTGGAGAGCTGCCAAGTAACTATTGCCAAACGCAGTGCTGACAAGGAAGGGCTCAGCAGAGAGTCTCTGAGATGCACAGACAGATCTTCACAATGATGGAACGAAGGAATTGGTTCCTGCAAAAGCCCCCTCCCCTTTTGCTCCTCTTTTAATCCCTAGGGGAGGAGCCATTCACCGTCTCTACCTGTGGCTTTACTCCCACGTCGAACCTGAGTTCGTAATTGTTCTTTTCTTTTGGCCGCTCTGCGCATGTGCAGGCTGGGCACTGGCTCCAGCTGCTCCCCCTTCTCACTGCTCTCCAACTCTGAAGGCAGCTGCTGACTGCCAGCCAGCCAGCCCTGGCCCCATCTTTGCCTCTGATACAGAGCCCTCGTCCGAGCCTTCCTCAGCCTCCAGGACTGGCCCAGGTTCCTCCCCAACCTCCTCACTACTGTCCGACTCTGCTGCCAGCTCCGCTAGCCACCAGCAGGCCACAACAAGCAGTTTCAAACCTACCTGTCAGATTTCCAAAGCCCTCCTTATAAGCGTCCCAGAGTCGGTCAAAATCCACCGAGCCGTCCAAGCGCCTCTGGATCACGGTCCAGCCGCCGTCCTCTGCCAATGGAGAGAGCAGGACTAAGGGCACTGCGGATGGGGCAAGACCCCGGGCAATTTACTCTGCCCACTCCACCACCACCCAACCTCCGTGCAATTTCCCCACCCCGCTGCCTCCCCAAAACACACACAGGTTCCCTCGACCGATCCTCTGATTTGATGTTGTGTGTGGCGTCTTTCTAATGGGTTCTTATTAGCAGCTAGGATCCTAGGGCTGGAAGGGACCTTGGAGGTCTTCTAGTCCAACTCCTTCTAGTCCTACACACACACACACACACACACACACACACACACACACACACTCTATTGTTCATTCCAATATTCTATTTTCTATTCTATTCTATTCTTCATTCCAATATTCTATTTCCGTGATGGCGAACCTGTGCCACGCAGAGCCATTTGTTCAGGCACATGAGCCCCAGCCAAACTTACCTGCACTGCGCATGTGGGTGGCTCTCAGTGGATTTTTGGCCCGTTTGAGGCCTTTTTCAGCATCCCAGAGGCTCGAGGGAAGCCTCTGCAGCCTTTGTAGGCCGAAAAACGGGCCTTCCGGAAGTGCCGAAACAGGCCCGTTTTCAGCCTCCCAGAGGCTCTGGGACGGTGAGAACAGCCTTCCACAGGCTCCAGAGGCCCTCCGGAAGCTGAAAATGGGCACTTCCGGTATTTCCAGAAAGCCCGTTTTTCGGCCTACAAAGGCTGCAGATGCTTCCCTTGAGCCTCCGGGAGGGTGAAAACGGCCTCAAACGGGCCCACCACAACAAAAAGGTTCGCCATCACTGTTCTATTTCCTATTGTTTTCTATTCTATTCTATTCCACTATTCTATTTCCTATTCTATTATATTCTATTATATTTCCTATTCTATTCTATTCTGTTCTATTCTATTCTATTCTATTCTATTCTACTCTACTCTACATTCCAATATTCTATTCTATTCTATTTCCTATTCTATTCTATTCCACTATTCTTTTTCCTATTCTATTATATTCTATTTCCTATTCTATTCTATTCTATTTTATTCTACTCTACTCTACTCTACTCTTCATACCAATATTCTATTCTATTCTATTCCACTATTCTAATTCCTATTCTATTATATTCTATTATATTTCCTGTTCTGTTCTGTTCTGTTCTATTCTGTTCTTCATACCACTATTCTATTCTACTCTGTTCTATTCTACATTCCAATATTCTATTATATTTCCTATTTTATTTTATCCTATCCTATTCTATATTGCAATATTCTATTCTATTTTGTATTCTGTTTTCTACTCTATTCTATTCTATTTTATTCTACTCTACTCTAATTCTATTCTATCCTATTCTTCATTCCAATATTCTATTCCTATTCCCATTCCTTCTGACTTTTTACTTTTTTTTTTACAGTGAAAGCAAACCACCTGTCTCTTTCCAAACCCCATCAGCCAGCTCTTGGGCTGTACAGAGATTTGAACCCAGACGCTGCATCGCAGCCGGACTTACCCATATCACAGAAGACTTTGAACGCCGGGGCTCCAGGGGGCTGGATCTCAAAGACCCCGCTCTTCTGCTCCTGCCCCTCGAGGAAGAGGTCATGACAGCCGGCCGGAAGCCCTGCAAGCGCGAAGAGAGGGTGGGAAGGAAGGGGGTGAGCATGGATGGACACGCATGTTACAGAAGCCAAAGAGATTCAACCTCTCCGTTCAGCCGCCCATTTGCAAAGGAGGTTGGATCGGGGGGCAAGTGTGTGATCCGGTGGGGTGGAGTTCCACAGAACCTTTTATTGTCAGTTTGGAAGCCATATTAGCACCAGCAGCTTCCTTGCTTCCACCTTCTCGATCCTGGGAAAATGGGAGGGGGGGAACTTCTTGGAGTGTATGTGGTTAGACATAATAGCATTCTTCTTCTAAATCAAGGTCATGTTATTTCTGCACCTGGTTGAGAGGACGTCTCACGCTGGGACAGATGGCGATTGGGGCATGTGATGCAATGAGGGTGTCAGGGCTCCAACAATCCATCCTCATTCAAACCATTCAGCCGTATCTCTCAGAGTTAAAAAAAAAAAAATCATTTATTAGGAGTGACCATGTTGGTGTTACCTGGGTGCAGCCGACTCTGAGACACAGCACCCTGATCTTCCCCCTCACCCCCAGGATGTATATTCTCCAATGGGACACATCCATAGCCAAGAGTCATCAATCATGCTCTCCAGTAATAATCTTACACACTGGAAGCTTTGGCCGCCTAGCAATTTATCTATGAAAATATTTAAGGTATGCATTGCTTCCCCCCCCACTCACATTCTGTTGACAACTCTAAAAGACCAGAGAAATATTTTTGAGTTGACATTCGGCTCCCCTCACTTCTTGAAGGTGACCTGTGCAGGGGGTGGATTTGTAGTTTTTACTTATTGCAAGGAAACCCTAGAACTTTCAGATTTGGCTACGGTTGTTAAATTAGAAACCCCTGTCAAGTGAATTGGGCCTCCCCGACAGACTTTGCCTGCCGGAAGATCACCAAAGGGTATCACGGGGGACACACACCCCTGGGACGCTGCAACCGTTGTAAGTGTGAGTCAGTTGCGAAGCCTCGGAATGTAAATCAAGCGACCACTCAGAGGCTGCAGCAGTCACAAGGGTGAACATTGGTCATAACGTCCCTTTTTTTTCGGTGCCCTTGGAACGTCGGTCACTAAGTGAAGTGTTGTAAGTCGAGAACTGCCTGTACAAGGTCTTTTGCAGCTGCAGATATGGAAACCCCCCAAATTCCAGGCTCCGAAAAAGTGAAAACTGATTTTCAAGAAGAGACTGGGCAGCCATTTGTTTGAAATGGTATAATGGTTTCCTGCCTGAGCAGGGGGTTGGACTAGAAGACCTCCAAGGTCCCTTCCGGCCCTGTCATTCTGTTATTCAGTTCAGAGGGACTCATTCTCTTCCCCCACCCCCATCCCAGATTGCATGGACAGAAGAATTTCCTAGAGGCTTTGTGGCATGTGCTGGCAAAACAATCTGCCTTCCAGTCTAACTGGGTTGCCATTTTGACACGGTAGGCCAGGAGGAGGAAGAGGAGGAGGGGTCCAGCCCAAAAGCGGTTGCCACATTGAGGGACAGCCACAAAATTGAGGAAATGCAGGACAGCAGGCAATGGAATGGAGACCTCCCTCTCTCTTCCTCATTCTCTCTCTCTGTGTCATTTTCTCTCAATCTCTCTCTCTCCCACTCACTCTCCTGTCTCTCTCTCATTCTCTTTCCTTTTCCCTCCCTTTGTCATTCTCTCTTTCTCATTCTGATTCTCAGTCTCCCTCATTTTCTCTCTCAATCTCTCTCTTTCTCTCTCCCTGTGTCATTCTCTTTCTCATTCTGTCTCTCCTTCTTTCTGATTCTCAATCTTTCTCATTCTCTCCCCCATTCTCTTCTCCCCGCTCTCAATCTTTCCCTCTCCCTGCGTCATTCTCTTTCTCATTCTATCCTGTCTCTCATTCTCTGATTCTGTCTCTTTTCTCCCCCCCTCAATCTCTTTCTCTCTCCCTGTGTCACTCTTTCTCATTCTATCTTGTCTCTCATTCTCTGATTCTCAATCTCTCATTCTCTCCTCTCTCTCTCTCTTGCTGTTATTATCTTCTCTTTCTCTCTTATCTGTCATTCTTTCTCTCTCCCTCATTCTTTTTTTCTCATTCTCTCTCTCTACTCTCTCATTTTCTCCTCTCTCTCTCTTGCTGTTATTATCTTCTCTTTCTCTCTTATCTGTCATTCTTTCTCTCTCCCTCATTCTTTTTTTCTCATTCTCTCTCTCTACTCTCTCATTCTCTCCTCTCTCTCTCTCTTGCTGTTATTATCTTCTCTTTCTCTCTTATCTGTCATTCTTTCTCTCTCCCTCATTCTTTTTTTCTCATTCTCTCTCTCTACTCTCTCATTTTCTCCTCTCTCTCTCTTGCTGTTATTATCTTCTCTTTCTCTCTTATCTGTCATTCTTTCTCTCTCCCTCATTTTTTCTCATTCTCTCTCTCTACTCTCTCATTCTCTCCTCTCTCTCATTCTCTTATTATTCTCTCATTCTCTCTCCCCCTCAGTCTCTTTTCTCCCCCCCTCAATCTCTCTTTCTCTCTCCCTGTGTCACTCTTTCTCATTCTATCTTGTCTCTCATTCTCTGATTCTCAATCTCTCATTCTCTCCTCTCTCTCTTGCTGTTATTATCTTCTCTTTCTCTCTTCTCTGTCATTCTCTTTCTCTCTCCCTCATTCTTTTTTCTCATTCTCTCTATTCTCTCTTTCTCTCCTCTCTCTCTCAGTCTCTCTCTCTCTCTCCCTCATTCTCTCTTCCGCATTCTCTCTTCTGCCTCACATACACACACACACACACCTGGAAAAGGCCGAAACCAGAGCAGCAGGCCTGTTTCCAATCGCTGCCACAATTAAGAAGCCCTGAGGGTACCCAGGATGGGCTGGTGCAAGGAAATGGAGCCCCGTCCCAGGTCCGTTCCAGGGATTCGGCCCATCGATCGTCGTGTGGTGGTTTGTCGCAACCGCCGAAAGTGAGCCTCTTTCGTGCGGGGACACCCCCCCCTTCCTTGGGCTTCCCCCTCAGAGCCTTGCTCCCTTCTCCGCTCTGACGGAAGAGCAAAATGGAGGACTAGAAAGGCCACGGGATAAGCCACGTCGCACTCCGCCTTCCTCCCCCGGAGGTCCATGTGTGCTGGAAAAGGCAGAGCAACTTTGGCCGGGAAAGCTGGGTGTGGAAGTTGCCCCACCAAGGAAAAAAAAGGACCGGTTGGGAAAGGCCTGGCGGTGTCCTTGGAGCTCTTGGAGCCTGGGGGGTTTCCTGGCCAGACCTGTCATTGCCCAGCCAGGTAACCTCACCTGTGCTGGTCTCGCTAGCATCCTGGCCCTGAGGATGATGCTCCCTAGCTGGGTTAATGGAATGCCTGCAAGAAAACCACCCAGCTCAGAGAGCACCAAGGCCCCCACAG